TGACATCTTCAATCTGCCCCATGCGTTCTCCTTTCCTTCAAATTTGAGCTCGAATATCTTCGTGCTTGTTCGTCTTGTATCGTACCCCAACTTGTTTTCTGTTGCGCCCTTCACTAACGCATCATTTTGTGCGACTTGTAGCCGACGAAACAACAAGAGGCCTCTTCCCCGACACAACCGTTCTCTTTCCTTTTGCCACAAGCAATAACTAAATATTCGTTGTCACGAGAGACAACTTTGCGGGAAAGACGAAACGAGGGCTCGATGATTTTCGCAAACCATTTTGCCGCTGCCGTAGCTGTTGCCGCATTGTCCTTCGATCCTTCCCGTGGTGGTGTGGACGCGGCCGAATCAACTGATTACAGGGTGAGATGCATTCCTTTTCAATCACCGCCGGTATGCGTTGGTGCCATTTACGTAGCGACCCCGATGCCTATGGGTTTCCCAAACGGAACGTATGCTATGGTCGGTGGATACTTGTTTGCTTATGACTTCGTGGAAGGGTTAGAAGATGGGGAGGATGACATGGGATCGATCTTCGATGCCTTGACGGGATCGGTGCTCGAGGTGAAAATCCGTGACGACGGCTCCTGCGCCATCACGTTAGTAGAGCCTGGTGACGAACCCAACGGAGGAAAAGTCTACACCGCGTGCAATTCGTGCTCTACCGTGTCTTGCTCAAATACCGACGTTGCCTTCGACTGCTCCAACCTGGAAAACGGCAGGGTTTCTAACCCCGGCGAGTGCGAAAGTCCCTATGCTCAACCGTTCTTCTATCCGTTCAACACCGATGTTAGCGGCGGCGAAACCGAGGCGCCAACGGTCAAAGAAACCAGCTCCGTCGGCGACGAAAGCAGCCTCGATGACCTGAAGCCCGGATTCGCAGACCTCTACGATCCCGCCAAGGCCGCGATGCCCCCTTCCGGAGAAAAGGACGCGAGCATGGGAGACATTGCGGAAGGATCCTCCTCCTCCGGTGGGTCGACGGCAGAGGTCCATTCGACAACCATGCAAATCCTAGCGTTGTCCGGAATGGTTGCTGCTATGATGAGCCTCTGGATGTAGCTACAGCGTATGTGTCTCGCTTCAAGCCGTTCTCTTGAAAGTATTTCAACTGCGTCTCGCTTTCCTGTAACCCTATCATAATAATGAGTATTGGAAGTACTAACTTTGAGTCGGGGGTTGAGGAGCCCCTGTTTAGAAGAAGTGCGACTAAAATACTACAAGCTTTCAAGAATCAAGAACAGGCATTCGTCTCATCCTTCTTAGTATTCTGGGCGTACCAATATGTTGCCTTCATATAGCTTAGGAATGTGTGGATAAATCACTACGAGGATCAATTACAAGCACGAGGAGTAGCTAGGGAATAACCTCACTGCACTCACTCTTCATAATATGCAACCTCGTATCGTAAAGTAAGGAGCACCGTCATCAAGTCTTTTTTACTGAGTGGGTTGATTCGCCGCTCCCCGTCGCAAATGACAGAGTCAGATCGATGTTTTCCTAAGTTTCACAAGGAATACAAATAATAATTTGACTAGGGCCCTCCGTTAGTTTTTGAGGAAGAAAGTCACAAACCAAACCCATCAACGAGTTAATGATAAGAAGCAATAGCATTGCCCAGGTAATATTGTTCTCTTTGCTTCTCCTTATTTGAACAAGGGGAAACAAAGGGAAACAAGGACCGACAGTATTCTCTTAGTATCTCTTTGCTGCAACAACTAGAAACAATGAGAATATAACCCATTGAATAAAAAAATATAAAAATTCTCTTCGTTTCTCCTTGTCCTTGCTTTGTCAGGTGTACGGGAAACTATTTTATTTGAAGAATTACGAAAGGAGCGCATTGTAGAAGGACCACCCGTAACCGGTTTTTTCATGAAAATTAATGTAAATTCCCGTTCTTCAGGAACCTACGTACAGTTCGGTAGTTCTGTACGGATTCTGTAGGTTGGAGGCTAAGATGAAGGGACGAGCTCATACGATTTGATTGATATCTAAAGATACCGACCGGTTGCCTTCTGCCACGTGAATTAACGCGCACCGATACCCCATCTGTACATGGTACCTTTTTCGGTACGGTATCTTCCACTTCGCATCACAATTACACCCCGCAGTGAACCACGCATCATCCTACACTAAAGAGCCTATCAACATTTCACAGTACCCGTCCTACGTCTAGTAATTCAATAAGTAAAAACATTCTTCGAGGTCCTCACGGACCAACGAGTACACGTAATGTACAGTACCTACCACTGCCCATCCTTCAGTTTTCGCGGTCTAGCTCAACCCGGTGTAGTCATTCTGCAAAACACCGCACGAATATTCCAGAATCCTAGTCCATCGGCCCTCAGGCAACAAACGAAATCCGGTCCACCACCCCAGCTACAGTTCTCGCTCCACCAAAATGACCGAAGAAGATACCACGGCGCAGGGAGAGACCCCCACGGAGATCGCAGAGGAAAGCAAGACCGGCGAGGGAGAGACCGCCGAGAAGCCCGAGGAACGCCAGCTCCCGGCCTACCTGCGTCCGCCTCCCCAGGGCGAAGGGTCCGCGACCAACCACGACGACGGAGGCACCGAGCGGCAGCACCTACTCGGGGAGAAGATCGGCGGCGACGAGACCGACGAGCTGCTCGCGCTGCTTGCCGRCAACGGAGCAAGAGGCTGCACCGGGAGTGCCTTCGACGCCGTTTTYGTCGGGGGGGCAGACGGGAGGCTCCACCAGAACTCCGATTTTCTCATCGATTTCCGGCTCCCCAAGAGGGTCGAAAAGAAGATGGCCTCGATGAACACCAGGATTGTCGCCAAGATACAAAAAGGAAAGGATACCGAGACAGCGGSTTGGTTTCGGGTGCACGAGGGAGACAAGGCGAACGCAGGCGAACCCAGTGGGGACGATCCGATGGTGGCCCTCCGAATCTTGCTCGCACCGGGTCCGAATTCCGTGGTGTACTACCTGCTCGACGAAACAGAAACCCCCGGCGTGGTGCTGAGCAGCGCCACCGCCAATATTTATTTGTGGAAACACACCGATGCCCTCGTGATCAGCGACATCGACGGGACCATTACCAAATCCAACGCCAAGGGGGCTCTGGGCACCACCATCCTCCCGACCAACGAACACTTCTACGACAAGGTGTCCCACGAGGGTATCTGCCACCTGCTTTCGTCRCTGGCAACCCGGGAAGGAGCAACAGCGGACGAACGAACCACGCGCGTCGTCTATCTCACCTCTAGGCCCATTACCCTCGCGAACCAAACCAGGGATTTCTTGTCCGGCCTGAAGCAGAAGACACCGGCGCTCGGTGGTTCSGCTTCCGTCCTCCCGCCCGGGCCGCTCCTGGGGTTTGGYGGCAAGTTTTCCAAGGTCCTGAAGATGGAGCTGCTGACCAAGTCGACCCAGAAATTCAAGGCGGGCAAGCTGCAGAGCCAGGTGATCGAGCCCTACCGGGAGGCGAACGAAGGAACGAACAGCGACGCCCCGCCGATCCTGGCCGCGTTTGGAAACAACCTCAACGACGTACAGGCCTATCACTTCATYGGAACAAGCCTCGAGAACATCTACATGATCAATAAAAAGTCCATGATTGTCACCTTCGACAAGCCGGTTGGCGATGGGGGTGACGAAAATGGCGAAAAGGAATCGTTTTTCTCCCACCAGTGGTACAAGGGCCGGATCGGAGCCGAATTCGAGGGATACGCCGATGCCAAGCTGCGCTACCGTCTCGGACTCTTCGATGGAGACGAAGAGAAGAAGAAAAACGTCGAAAAATACCTTGTGCCAGCGCCAAAGCCCTAGTCGTCTTTTACCGACGATTGTGGTAGGTTTGCGTGCGGTTTTTAATGGAGTTGGCACAACAGGACTACAAAACACCGGATCGACCTGCCATGCAATGATGGAGGTCCCCAGAGAAAAAGTCCTTTCCGTTATCGATGCCGTGGTGTTCTGGATGGAATGGCTTCAAGAACCTTCTAGAAGAGAAAAAAGGCAAGGCAGAACAAAACGAGAATTGACGGAACAGAGCAGAGAGAATCCAATGCTCGAGCTATTCGTCGAGTTGGTGGACAAAGGAAAAAAAACCGAGTGGCGAAGCACAGCATCGTCTATTGCGGGCAGCCAGCTTCTTTGTAGACAATTTCTTCGATTCGATTCGATTCGATTCGATTCGATTCGATTCAAAGCAAGCAAATGTTTTGGACCATAGCAGACCCTACTAGAATAAGAAACGTAATCATCAAACATTGTTGTTGTTGTTTTTCATTAATCTTGGCTGTTTCGTACCGGGCTTGTGCACAATCCCTACGGACCACGCAACGTGGTTGGTTGGTTGGTTGCTCACAGAAGGGAAGGGAGCCAGGACCCGAGCCAGAAGCASGGCCACCAGTACGCCAGGACCGAAGGGTTCCCGGTGGCCGCGTGGTACACCCCGGGCCCGGGGCAGACCCCCCCGATGCCCCAGCCCAGCCCAAAGAGGGCCGCGCCGAGGAGGAGCYTTTTATCGATGGTGGTGGTCGCCGGGACCYGGTATTGCTTGGAGGACCAGGGCTCGYTGAGGGCCGGGGCGTTCTTCCACAGCACGTTGAAGCCGGGGACGAACTGGTAGCTCGCCGTGCTGACCAGGAGCCCGCCGGCCATGACGAAGACCAGGGTGGGGTCCCAGGTCCCGTTCGCCAGGCCCTTGGCGTCCAGAAAGCCGGCAATGTGCTTGTGCTTGACCATYCCGCTGAGCCCCAGTCCGAGGGAGAAGAGCCCCCCCGAGGCCCAGGCCACCAGCGTGGAACGAACGCCCGGGGGTTGTGGTGGTGGGGTGCTTTCCTTCTTGTCCCTTGGTGAAGCAGAAGCAGCGGAAGCAAAGGGGAACAGGGAAGCGTAYCCCGAGGCCGCCACCAGGGCCCCGGTCAGGCCTTTCCCGATCCACGCGAGGTGGGGGCCGCCGGTCGATCCGGACGGCTCCCGGATCCAGGGACAGTCCGGTTCGCACACCGTCGAGGTGAGCATGCCCGTCGCCATAAAGGCCAGAACGGCCGA